TATATTTTTCCTTCTTTATGTCTCTATATACTCACTCTAAACATAGTACAATTACCTCATCTGAGCCTGTCAACATCTTTCTAACTTTTTTGTTGTTCTTCACATCAAGATTTTTACTCTAACTGAATAAACTGAACAGAATTGTTTAATCACAGCTTCCATATTCTTTCTGTATGGCAGCTTTCTAGGATTGTGTAAGTACATTTGTCCATTTGCATGTTATGTGTAACATTATTCTGAATTTTAAATTTTAAATGATTAGAATTTGTGCGTCTTAGCCAAAACTTATGTCATAGCATATTTTTTCTGCATGTTCAACTCTCCCAAAGGTATATTTTAAAGAGTAACTTATTTAAAAATTTCTGAATAATATCTGTATACTTTGAAATCAACATGTAATTTTGCCCACATACAGATAGTCTTCGACTTACAACCATTCATTTAGGGACCATTCGAAATTACAGTGGCATTGAAAAAAGTGACTTATGCCCGTTTTTCATATTTACAATTGTTGCAGCATCCCCATGGTCACAGGATCAAAATTCAGACACTTGGTAACTGGCATCTATTTATGATGGTTGCAGTGTTCCAGGGTGATCACCTTTTGAGGCCTTCTGACAAGCAAAGTTGATGGAGAAGCGAGATCCACTTAACAACCATGTTACTAACTTAACAACTGCAGTGAGTCACTTAACCACTGTGGCAAGAAAGGTCATAAAATGGGACAAAACCCAATAATTGTCTTGCTTAGCAATGGAAATTTGGGGCTTAAATGTGGTCATAAAAGTTGAGGACAACCTGTATTTAAATTTGCCAGAATGCTCTGACTTGGAGCTGACACATTTGAAACCCCAGTTTACTTCTAAATAATATCATATATGTCTTCTCCACCTACAAATCCGTAAATCCACCACAATCGCTCAGTTTTTACAACTGCTGATAGCATCAAGAATAAGTTCTTACATGTTCAAGAGGAGAAAGACTGCACTGAATTTTTATTCACTTCCCAAGTGGAACAAAACTGTTAGGAATAAACGCAAGCAAAGGAAAAGCTTCTCCCACCCCACCCTAAAATATTTTTTGATATGTGGAAAATAATCTGAATAACATTCAACTGCTGACTGCATAAAACATGCTTTTGTTTTGTGTACATTGTGTTGGTTTGTAAATTGTGTTTTGTTTAGTGTTCATATTTTCCTTATCCTTTCCAATATAGCTAAATGACTTTTCATGGAATTTCCACATTTATTCAGTTATGGATTATGTAGTTTGGCAAGCTGGGGCTTAGAAACATTTTTCTATAAGTATGGCTAGAGGTAAACAACCATTTTTAGTTCAGAAAATAGCTTCTGCTTCTGTCAACACATTGTTTATTTTCTCCATGAGATAAAAAGTTCAGTTTTCTGATATTTGTACCAAGATAAAGTCAGTAAACAAGATTAATATAGTGTGGAAAAGGTTGTCAGCAGCCCTGGCAAAGGAAATAAGTTGCCTGTACACAGAACATACTGTAAACTGAATAAAAGTGTCAGGTCCACCATGAGATAATGTGATCATGAACCTCTAACAAAGCATGACATAGGCACAGTCGGCTTTTCTTATAGCCACAGTGTAGAAAATGGATTACTATATTCCAGGGATACCCACTGGAATAGCATGAAAACCTCATTTTGAGTTTAATGCAGGATGTAACTCTAGAGCTGCGCCAAATATTTACCTGCAATGTTAAAATAACTGTTAAACTATTAATGTTATAAACAGTCAATCATATCAGTTACTATGATTTTTGTATCATTGATATTTCATAACCACCAATTAACCTTTCATAGCTTAGTTTATATTATTTTAAAAAGTAAGGAGATCTAGGGATAAGTAAGTAAGTAATGTGAAATTACAATGCACAGAAATATATTTGTATGTCCTTCTTGCTTAGTGAAATTTAACATTTCAGGAAGTATCAGCAATTTGTCACAAAATAAACATGCTGTTATGTTATGTCTGGATGCCTCTGTTCTGTTCCATTATGTGGTACACTAGACCACATAAATGTTTCATTATCAAAAATTGATAAATTGTACCATTTGTAATTCTGGGGATTGAAAATATTAGAGGTTGCTCTTTTTTTATACCAGTTCAGAATCCAATTGTCTACTGCCCCTGGTAGATGGGCTGACATTACTGGAAACTGTCAATGAGGCAATTATAATTCTACATCAGGCATGAAGAACTCCATCCCATGTTTTGTCTCCAAGCACAACCTTCCTGCCTTCACATAGAGAAATGGGCTCATTTTGATACCAAGTCTTGGGTATAATTTGGTATAGGAAGTTTGCTAACTGTGCATATACATTGCCATGGGAAGTTTTCTAACTTTTGGTCATAGTTTTGAAATTTTCTAAGCATGTGTTTGACGTACACCACTGATCATATTTGTTATCCTACATTTTATCCTGCATTTAAATCTTAAATAAATCCCTTCTCTGTAGCATTTTATGGATTGTTTAGATACTATGTAGAAGTGAAGTTATTAAAAATTGAAACAGCACAAGGACTTCATTGACTATTTTTTTAGTGTCATTGGGGTGCATTGTAATTTCACATTACTTACTTACTTATTCCTAGATCTCCTTACTTTTAAAATAATACAAGCTAAGCTATGAAAGGTTAATTGATGGTTATGAATTGAATATTGCATCTCTAAGAGCCACTATGTGCTCTCTTTATTCTGGAGTCTTGGGTAGCAGAAAAGCTTAATTATAAATAATCCCTGTGGTTTTTTATCCCCATTACTGCTATACAATGCAGTATTTTATGCCCATCCTTTGGATGTTCATTGATAATTCTGATAACTTCTTCAAAATAATATAGAAATACAGCAGACTGGAACAGCCTTGCTGGAATATACTATGGACTGGGTCTGCTCAGAATATCTACTATTCAAAGAAGATTGGTATACAAACTGGTATCTCCACAATCATCATCCAATAATAATGTTGGAAGGGACCTTGGAGGTCATCAAATCCAACCCCCTGCTCAGGCAGGTAACCCTATACCATTTCGGACAAATGGCTGTCCAGTTTCTTCTTAAAAACTTCCAGTTTTGGAGCATTCACCGCTTCTGGAGGCAGGTTGTTCCACTGGTTAATTGTTCTAACTGTCAGGAAGTTTCTCCTTAGTTTTAGGTTGCTTCTCTCTTCATTAAACTAGACATACCCAATTGCTGCAACCATTCCTTATATGTTTTAGCTTCCAGTCCCCTAATCATCTTTGTTGCTCTTCTCTGTACTCTTTCTGGAGTCTTAACATCTTTTTTACATTGTGGTGAAAAAAGCAAGGTTCTACATTTAGGCAAGAAAAACCAAATGCACAGCTATAGTATAGGGGGTACCTTGCTCAATATAGTAACTGTGAGAGGAACCTCGGAGTCCTAGTGGACAATCACTTAAATATGAGCCAGCAGTGTGCTGCAGCTGCCAAAAAGGCCAGCACAGTGCTAGGCTGCATTAACAGAGGGATAGAATCAAGATCACACAAAATGTTAATATCACTTTACAATGCCTTGATAAGGCCATACTTGGAACGCTGCATCCAGTTTTGGTCATCACAATTTAAAAAAGACGTTGAGACTCTAGAACAGTGGTTCTCAACCTTCCTAATGCCGCGACCCCCAACCATGTGGTCGTAAGTCGAGGACTACCTGTATTTCCCTTTGGGTGGGGCAGGAGGAGGCACATGCTCCGTCTCCTCTCCTGCGGCTGGAGCGCATGCTGGGCAGGTCGAGGGTGCACGCAGGCCATCGCCCAGCAACCGCCTCGGCCCGGGAGTGCCGCGCCTGCATGGTGCCTGCGCCAGCCAAGGCGTAGCCGGCAAGCGGCAGCGACGGCGCAGGCCGACCACCGGCTGGGCCACCAGCTGGCCCAGCCCAAGGGAGGTAAGGCACCCGCCGGGACCCACACACGCCAGCAACCCTCCCTGAGCCCGCTGCTGCCCCGCTAGCCTTACCTTGGCCACCGCACATTTGGTGCAGTGGCAGGCAGGCCCAGGCACTCCGGGGTGGCCATGGCACATGGCAGCGAGGGTGCAAGCCGTCCACGGACTGGGCCACCAGCTGGCCCAGCCCAAGGGAGGTAAGCCACCCTCCGGGCCCCATGCGCGCCAGCAACCCTCCCTGTGCCCGCTGGCCTCCCACCTCCCACCCCTGGCCCTCTTTTACTTACATTTAGTAGTTGCTCAGCAGGGAGGGGTGGAAACGTCCAGAAAGCTCACCTTAGCTGCAGACAACTTGCAGCACCATTTGCAGACTGGGACTTTTGGCAGGCTCAGCAGGGCAGAGACAACTGGACAATTCCTATTGGCTTTCAAAAGCCAATAGAATAAGAGGGAGTAGCACAGCTAAGGAAAAGGGGGGAAAATGGCGGAGTGTGTTGCTTGGTGACCCCGTGAAATGGTCGTTCGACCCCAAATGGGGTCGCGACCCACAGGTTGAGAACCGCTGCTCTAGAAAGAGTACAGAGAAGAGCAACAAAGTTGATTAGGGGACTGGAGGCTAAAGCATATGAGGAACGGTTGCTGGAATTGGGTATGTCTAGTTTAATGAAGAGAAGGATGAGGGGGGACATGATAGCAGTGTTTCAATATCTCAGGGGCTGCCACAAAGAAGAGGGTGTCAAGCTATTTTCCAAAGAGCCTGAAGGCAGGACAAGAAGCAACGGGTGGAAACTAAGCAAGAGAGAAGCAACTTAGAACTAAGGAGAAACTTCCTGACAGTTAGAACAATTAACCAGTGGAACAACCTGCCTCCAGAAGCAGTGAATGCTCCAACACTGGAGGTTTTTAAGAAGAGACTGGACAGCCATTTGTCTGAAACGGTATAGGGTTTCTGCCTGAGCAGGGAGTTGGACTAAATGACCTCCAAGATCCCTTCCAACTTTACTACTACTATTACTACTACTACTACTACTACTACTACTACTACTATTATTATTATTATTAAAACTGGATGCAGTATTCCAAGTGTGGCCTTACCAAGGCATTGTAAAGTGGTATTACATTGTAAAGTGGTATTATTAAATAGTTTTCATGATTTAAATACTTTTAAATTCCAATACACAACTTATAATACTTGTGATTCTTTTAGATTACTACAACAGGCTCATGTAGTAACAAAAAAGCCGTGCTTTTATCCCAGGAATTCCATCACCATGAGTAAGTGTCTATATTATTTTTTCATTATTTCTTTTAGCTTCCTTTGTATATCTCCCAATTTGAATTATATATTAAATTTCATCCTAATTGTCCAGTCAAATCTCAGAACTCTGGCCTGCTCTTTCCAGTATTTTTGTGGAGAAACGTATGTGTTAATTTTAAAACAACTCAATTCCTTGAGTGCATGTATTTTTGTTTTTTTTCCATCCTAGAATCAGAATGAAGATAAAGGAAGCACAGTATCTTATCTGGCTTAGGTCTGTCCAGATGTACTTTCTTATTTCTTTGCTTTTGCTTTTGAAGTAAGAAATGGGATAAAAGGAGAGTGATTTGGAGAAGTGCACAAGCTGCTTTTAAACATTTCACAAACCATTTTGTGACATATTTAAAACTAGCAAATTGATTGTGGAATAAGTGTTCCACATATTAGAATCCCCTGCAAGAAATATTGGAAATTAAATGCAAAATTTTACCAAGTATAACAATTAAATAAAACTATATATGTATGTTAATTTGAGAGTGATGATAATACTGTGTCTTGGTATCATTTAAGTCACTCAAAATTGTAGCAATTTTAAAAAGCAACTAGTGATACCAAAATGTGCTTAATGCTTCTTAGATTTCTCTCCTCTTGCTAAAACTCTGATTATCTTAAGTAACCAAGCTGATTGAATTGGGAAGGGAAAAATACATGTTTTCCATTTTAAACTGGTATAGTTCTCAAAGTATTCTATAACACAAAAAATAGACGATACCATAATGGAATGAATTGTAGAAACACTGAAGGTGCAGTTCTTTGTACGTGAATTGTATTGACTATCATTGAAATCTATAGCTTTAATTCTGATTAAACTTTCTCTAAATGATGTGTATATGTGTGCAAAAGTATTAAATCCAAAATGCTAATAATATATATAAATATTTCTATTAGCCATCAACATTTCTGCAAAGTTTTTCCACTTACTGATTAAATTTGACATTTCTGTGGCCCAAACATAGCAAAAAGTTTATCAGATGTATTATGTAAAGAATTGCAGAATGGCATGCTGCCATTTAATGTATATTCACTTGCTTAAACAGTAGTAACCTGAGGAATGAGATACATTGCTGTGAAAACTATTATAGACCTTGAGTGTTCTGTAAAATATCCTATTTAAATAAATCATAGCCAAAGGCTACTTTTCTGGTGGACAATAAAATACCCAAGAGCACGCACAGGCTGGTCATATGACAGCTCATGCTTCAGTTAGCTGTTACTAACCCCATTTTTTTTCCCTTCCCATAGCCATTGGTTTAGCCCTGCGGCTAGAAAAGAACATAGCCAGGTAAGAACCACTTTGATCAAGAACATTTTATTTTATATATTTGAAGGAATTTAACTGTCACTTGTCTGGAGAAATAGGGACACCGGTGTGTAAAAGAAGGAACAAAATCTCCTGATTTTGTATTGAAAATGATTGACTGAAGATATTTAGCAGCAAATAACTCATTATGAAAGCCTCCTGGGTATGACAGGGTAGAGCCGGCAATTATCAGCAGTTATTTTTGCTCAAAGAATGTTTCAATCAAGTGTGCAAGTGGATATGTGCTCCCTTGAGAAATAATTCAAAGAGCAATGTAGGGAAACAGGGCCATGTGTATTATCTCCAGATCTATCAGCTCCACCTCAACTTTTCCACACTGAGAATTCTCCCTGTGTTCACAAAACTTGTATGGTCATACTAAAAAGAAGCCTGTAAAAAATTCCATTTAATTTCAGGCTGCTTCAGTATGCATAGCAACGCATATATTACCAAGTCACTATGAAGACGCTTCAAGTCTCTAAAACTGATAATGAATGAAACGCTTATCATGGAATAGATAGGAAAAGGAGTGGCAGGGATGTTTCAGGGAAGATAAGGGAATCTTTTCTGATCACAGTGTTCCACAACTGCAACAGAGTAGAATTTACAAAATAACGTTCATAAGTATATTAAAAGGATTTTGTTTCCTGAGTCATAGATTTAAAATTATTATAGACTGCTTCTCAAAACAATCAAAAAACTGAAACGAGTGGGCAATAATTTTGCAAATATATTTTAAGACTAATTACTATCTGCAGCAGCAGCTCCCTGTCACCTATGAATCCTTCTACAGATTGCTGCTGTCATTAACCATAACCATATCTCACTTCTTCCATTGATATGGACTGAAAAGAGCTCCAAAAATATATCTCTGTAATAAGTGAGGGTCAACAAAATTTAAATTTCAATACAGTATAAGTAAATATAAAGTGATACATCTTGAAGCTAACAATCTAAGCTTTCATATATACAGACCCATACAGTCTGAACTGACAATTATTGACCTGGAAACTTTGAGTCATGGTGAATAGATAACTATATGAAAATATTGATCAAGATGCAGCAGCTGTGAAAAATGTGATAGGAATAATTAGTAGGTCTCTCCACCATTCGGAGGGATGTTTTACAAAATGATCAAAGTCTCTTTCCAAATCCACTGCTCACATTATTTCATTTTCCTGAATTCAAGTTACAACTTTTTGAGCATCTCTTTTATTGCTCTTTGGGAACTGCCATCATTTTCTTATTGTTGCTTTTACAATCTGATTTTTTTTTTAAGAAAACAGCTAATAAAGATCACAATTAAATATTTGCTATAATTTCCCTTTCCCATTTTCATCTTCCTTAAAGTAATATTTTGAGACTCATCTTTCTGATAGTGAATAAACATAATGGTGCCCATAGTTATATGTTGTTCACTCATAATGTACAACTTTATTATTTAGATGCAGTTTTTTAGAAACACAAATTAATCTATGAGAATTATTTTGCACTGCAAACATTTTGCCTTATTTGAAAGATGAAATTAAGAGCAATTCTAAATAGTCTGGTAGTTACAACATGGTAATTTAACAAATCCTGCTTAATTTAGCTATTCCTACTGTTAGAAACAGCTTAGGAAAGCTGAGAATGCCAGATTCAAGTCATTTTAAATTAGCCAATTTTGTTGAAGATGTTAAGAAAAGGAATACAGGAATTGATAGCTAATGGTAAAGCCATAATTAATTCTAAGGAAAAAATGTGGGGTGAAAAATGAGCACATAGTGGAGCCATTCCTACAGTAGTGTCTTTTTTGTTCTCTTTTCGCTCTTTTGCTCTCAGGAAGTGAGAACTTTTGAGAAATAAAAGGGTTAGGAAAAAGATTAGTAAACTTCAAATATGTTGGTTTTAATTTCAGTCAGACCACAAAAGTTTTCTTTATAATTTTCAAGGAAATATTACCCCCAGCATAAAGTTTGCTGGACTATCCAGTCACAACAGCAGAGTAGGTGGGAATTGCTGTGGAAATGGATCTTAGTACTATGTCAGCATGGTCATAGGTACATGGAAATAAAATAAAAACAGACCTTAAGATTTCAGTATATTGCCAGCTATAAGATTATTAGTTTCATTAAAGAAAGCAAAAAGCATAATAAAGCTAAGAGATTTGTACTTCTAAACATTTAAATTTTGTTTTTTATATAAATTCTGAATGTCTTGTGTAGCTTCAACTATTACGAGATAACCGATCAGAAAGAGGACACAAGAAGAACAGTTCAGTAAAAACAGCCAGCAGGTAAGTTTATAATACAGTGCAGTTTATAATTTACATTCTAATTAAATCACAAGCTAATATTTTACCTAGTTGAATAACTGCTAATCATATAGTGAGATGCAGTGACTGTCTCTGCCTCTGACTGCTTAAAAGGGAGGCATAGGTAACACCGAATATAATCTTTTTTATATAATCAGAGAAGCAAGTTAATACATATAGAATAAAATAAATATTTGTTTCTTTTTTTTTGTATGTTTTCTATGTCTGTCTACTATCTATTTATCTCCATAGCATATTTAGGGACAGTAAAGCTTATACCCCCTTTGCACTATGTCACCTAGGACAGCAATGCAGCCATATAAAAGCACAACTGTCTTTAAAATGAGATCTGATTTACCATGAATAAAATAGCACTTCCTCTGTTTATCACATATTTTTCACAAGCATTACAAATGCAACCTACCATTGTTTTGTTTACGATATTAGAAATGAGAGTTACAGTGTGAATCAAAGGGTTGATAGAAATATTAAGACTTGGATTTTATGACCAGTGAATCCATTACTAAAATAACACAGTTGATTTTTTTTCCCAAAAAAAATTGATCTCTGGAGGATCTGAAAATTGCTCCAATCGACAGGTTGAGAGATACTAAAGGAAAATATAAAATTAAAATCAATAATCTATTTGGTGGGGAGATGTTTATTTATTTAAACATAACTCACATTTACTCATGTTCTTGTTTTATCAGAAACAGCTTTGTTGAGCTTTAGATTATTTTCATGTACAAAGTCAGTTATATTTGTTTATTTATACTGTCTTTTATTTTGATACTCTGTAATCATGAGGGTGCTGAAAAAATAAAAATTGGGGCTGAAGAGAGATTAGAACAAAAACTTCTGGTGATAAGGCATTTTTCTTTCATCAGGTTTCTTTCATCTTTCATCAAAATATCTTTTAAAATGAACGATTGTCCATTTTCTCTGATAATTCAGATGACTATGTTTTTGTTACAGAGATGTAACAAATTCAGTAGCATTAAAGTGATTCTTATTAGAAGCAAGATACGGCAATCTCATCTTTTTTCCAAACATCATCTGTTCATTAGGACAGACTTTTAATTTACCTTAGATAAGACATTTTTTAATTGCAATACATTTTTTCCAAAATAAGTGAAACCATCAATACAGATTTTTCAACAGCTGTGAATAGATGTGGTTAATAAAATAATATATTGAATTTTGCATTTCATAACCAGAAATACCATAATTTAATGTGAATTTTGTGGTACATAATAATAGTATCAGAGAGAGAAATACTATGTATGCAATTGGAATATAAAATATTTAAAAAAACAACAACAACAATGTGCTATTTTTATATTACCCTGTCCATTGAAATGTCAATCCAATAGAAGAATAATTTCAGGCTCTCTGGACTGAAAAATCCAATGAAAGTAGAGTGAAATTAGAGAGCCAATTGGGAAATTAACATGCAGTATTTTGAAAGAAGCAGGCAAAGACCTCAAGCAAGTTCTAAAAGTGGTCAGGGCCAGTTAGGCTATTAATGGGGAAGGAAAAAGAGAGGTTGGGGTATCATCACTCTGAAACTTCATGAAAAAATCTTGCCCCTTTCATCTTCGCTTCTGCAACTTGATATAGTTAAACATAAGGAATAGCTGAATCAGGACAGAATGCCCCAAGATCATCAGATTGATTTGGCTCCAGAAACTAGCAACTAGATCCTTTGATCAAAGCACTGGTTTGATTTAGATTGCCTTGAAGCTAAGAATGCCCTAATTTCTTTTTTCTTTTAAACAACCAAATAAATACATAAATAGGAAATCTACAGACATGTTTTATTATCAATTTATTATTACCGAAATGACAATACAAGCAACTTTGCAGTAAAATGGAAGCAGTTAGAACTTTCTGACAGCAGTTGATAATAGCAGCCTGAGCCTGAAATTCAACTCAGTTTTGACAAATTCAACTCAGTTTTGACAACATCATTCACCTTGTCCCACTTTTATAATCCTGGCTGAGATTTGCAGCAAACAATTTAGTCCCCTTAATGCAGAAGGAGAAATCTATCCAAACTGATTTGAATGCCAGTTTGCTTTGTCAAATTGTACCCAAATACTAGATCAGATAATTAGATCAATCTTGACCGCCCAATGATGTTTTCTTAAGTAACCAGTCTCCGTCTCTCAGTCCTGCAGGATATTTAAAATTCTATCACAGTTTCCAAGCTGAGTAGGGCTTTAACATTAGCTTAGTTTGATGTTTGGCCATCCATTGTTCTAGAAAATAACTTTCACTAGCCAATTGTATCTAAAGGCCCAGGCACTTTAGATTCACTGCAGTAACTTCCAAGATCGGTAAAATGAGGACCCAGAGTGTTGGGGGCAATATGCTGTTATTGTAAACTACCCAGAGAGTGTTGTAAAGCACTATGTGGTAGTATATAAGACTAAGTGCTATTACTATTTAGTGAAAACTTTTCAAAAGAGAGAAAAGTGATTGTGAGGAGGTGGAAAGATAATGTGGTTTGGCTAACAAAGACTTGATCAGGAATATTTATAGAGTTGATGATATAAATTATCTAAGGTGAGGAGAGGGGATTGATATAATAGGATCCATTTTAGAATTCTCAAAGAAATTGTACTTCTACAACTAAAATGAGTTTAAGCTATTTGTCTTTTTATGCATTGTTCCTTAACACAGAAATGTTCCTAAACCTAGAATAATCTTTTGTTTTAATTAGAATTTAAAAATGAGTTCCTATGCCACAGTAGTAGGAAATTTCCACAAAAAATATTTACCTTTGATTCTGTTTTAAATACTGTTTCTCAATATTTTCATAGATTATTTTAGCCTTGGTATTCTGAATTTTGTGCTCTGATCATATTAGTGATTAACATCAGATGTGTGTTACCTATGACTTGTTTGTAAGACAAAATATTGGTTTAGATTTGCCTTGGTCATAGTCATACACTTCGGATCAATTCTAGCTCATGCCCAATTATATTACATTCCATTAACATAATTCAGCAGATGTTGATATTTAAGTGCTTTCAGGCATCCACATCTTGGACAGCTGTCTTAGAGCTTGGGGAAAAGGCAAACATTTAGAGTTAAATGCTGAACATATGCTTAAATTACTAATTAGAAGCAAGAAAAAAAACTCAACTGCATTATCCTTTCTGAGGACAGCAAGACTCTAATACAGGTATTTAAAAATCTTTTTGGGTTGGCATAAAGTTCATGAGTCTCTAGAGGCACAGTGATGGAGCACATTAAGAATAACTCTACAATTGGACTTCATTTTTTGGCAGGTTTTCTTTCTCAGAAAAATTACAACCTGCTTACTGCCGCTGACTCTACAAGAGGCTCCGAGTTTAAATAAGGCTTAGAACACTTAGCAGGTGTTAGTGTACTATGCATGGGCACAAGTCTATTTGCAAAAGAAAACGGTTCCCCTCCCACACACAGACACACACTCATAGTTACATTTGTTACTGTTCCTTGTAACAAATGTATTGGCATTCATGGCCTAATCTCAATATGCTGGAATAAAATGAAAAGAAAGTGTGTCAGGATTGAATTCTTCCATCACATGGAACATTTAAGTATATAAAAAGGGATGGTCATAACTCTTCTTGGTAAATACAATAACACTTTGAACGATGCGGAAGCAGAGGTTTCAGTGTGCATTATGTTGATGATCTCATTGTTCTAACTAAGCCTGAGGAAAGACTTCATAACTAGGCAAGCCAATAACTAAATCCAGTGTAGAATTCTGATTATACTTCCTCTGTGCCATATAACCATAACATCCATGACTATTTTCAAGTGCATTTTTTATTAAGAAGTAAATTATTGTACAGGCTTTTGTACTATAGGCTAGAAGGGAAAAATCAAAACAGTTAGAAATTTCTTAGTAATACCTTTGCAAATGTGTTACATGTGTATCCCACAGTTTCTCTAAGCAAGATTTATCCTTACTGTTCCTCTCGAGGATCTAAAGCACGAGTGTCAAACTTGCCACATCACGTGATGTGTCGCGACGTATCATGACTCTTTTTGTATTGCCGGCAATGGGGTGGGCGTGGCTTTGGTATGATGAAACTGGCCCACGGGCCGCCAGTTTGACATCCCTGATCTAAAGGCTGAAAGACTTGGCTGAAGGTTATGTTTTCTATTTCACCGCAGGAACACACTTTATTTTTAAAGCTGTGTAGAAAGAAATATTTTGGTTACTGAACTTTTCTGTGTCTTAATATCTCCTTTAAAATGCAGCAACAAACAATTTAAAATTTTTAATGAAGAACTCACCTATTACTTTCTCTGGATTCCATCCTATATATTGAAAAAGAGAGAGAGAGAAAGACAGAGAGAGCTCTCCTATCTTTCTATCAAAAGCAGAAAGTAAAATAAACTTTTATAAGATAAACGCAATGATTTATTCAACTTTATAATTGAAGAGGATTTTTTTTCTATACAGAGATGCTTCTGTAGTGCTACTTTTTTAAAAATTGAAAAAAATGTCTCAGAAATCTCTTTACAGCAGTGGTTCTCAACCTTTTTAATGCCGCGACCCCCAACCGGTTGTAAGTCGAGGACTACTCAACCGATCGTAAGTCGAGGACTGCACAACTGGTGCAGCACCATTTGCAGAATGGGACTTTTGGCGGGCTCAGCAGGGCAGAGACAGCCTGGACAATTCCTATTGGCTTTTGAAAGCCAATAGAATTAGACTCTATTCAAGACAGTCTATTTTATTGGCTTTCAAAAGCCAATAGAATAAAAGGGAGTAGCACAGCTAAGGAAAAGGGGAAAAAAATGGCGGACTGCGTTGTTTGGCGACCCCCGTGAAATGGTCGTTCGACCCCAAATGGGGTCCCGACCCACAGGTTGAGAACCACTGCTTTACAGTTTTGTTTTCTGTTCTGGTATAAAATTAAGTAATACGTTACTTTCAAAATAACTGTATATTTCTGAGAAATAAAACTTCCTTAAAA